CCTTGACTTTTCTTATCCTCTTTTGTCAAAAGAGAGGCCACCATTTTCTTATCTTGTCTCGACCAAGATGTCTCAATTTCTTGTCTTGTAAAGAGATGAGAAAAATCTTCTCTTGGTTCGTTCGAGACAAGACAAGAGGAAACATGAGACAAAAATATCTTGTCTTGGTGGCAACACAACGAATTGATGAAAAATTCAGATACCAATTTTATTAGTAAGGTAATTGAGCTGCTCAATTGTTCTTATTTCTTGCGCAAGGAAGTTGTGATGCGCATTTTAGAAGTATTTTTCCAGGTCCAGTAGTGACAGTTCACTGACAAATAAATGTGAACCGTTTCAGTCGACTGAATGGTGTATCCTGAAGGATTGAATTCACTCAGAGAATTTTGTTTTCATCAATAGTTTTCAAATCACGTGTCGATTGAATTCAATGAAAAGAAAGTGGAAATAAGGCAATTGAAATAAACATTTGGTTGTGTGCTAATTACATATTCAGATATTATTAGATAACACTCAACGAATTTTTCTGAGAACAAAGCATAATGGAGGCAATATTATTCATAGTTCAATTAATTTTCAATAATTTGATATTGAAATTTAATCAATTTAAGGAACGAAATGGGTGGTATAGTCAATTTCTGCCTCAGTAGATACTAGAGAATGATTACACATATTTTATAAAAAAAAGTAGGTACTCACGACAATATAGTTTGGAATTACAGATCTGCTGAGTGAGAGGACCTTCACGACCATTTTCGGAATTTCCCACGACTAGATGTTTGTTTCACCTCTAATGATTCAATAACTCGTGCTTTCGAAGTCACTGAAGTTATTCTATCATCCATGGATGCAGAAATTAGAAATACAAACATTAGTTCAACAAAGATTGCGACTAGGCTGTTGCCTTCAAAAATCTCGCCTATCAGCAGTGGCGCCAATATCCCTGTATCTAAAACCAAACAATGTTTGTTAATACTCGTGACAGTTACAAACTCAGCAAGGATGAAAGCAAAGAACATCACAATCAGAGATTTCGGGATAAACTGTTTACCTTTGACTTTTCAACCTGTCTCACAAGAAGGGGGTTTTTCTTTCAGGTTTCAAATAATTATAGACCAGTCACTTCGCCATCAGTGATAGTAAAAATCATGAAGAAAGCCGTGAACCATCATATTCTTGAATATTTGGAACTCTTTAACATACTGAGCGAGTATCAATATGGCTTTCGGAAACGAAGACTACCATGCGACTTTGTACCGTCGCATATCTGGAATAACGCAATCAAAAAACATAGAACTGTTACGCTTGATATTTCTGAAGCCTTTGACCACGTGTGGCATGAGGGTTTGGTGGGCGAACTTTGATGCTATGGCTTGTCGGATCAGTTTTGTGTATTGCTCTTCAGCTTCCTGAAACAACGTTTCTGCAAGTGACCGTCGATGAATATCTCTTGAATACTTTTACCATCAGAACTTGTGTTTTCCAGGGATCCATATTGTCTCCAACATTCTTTATATTGTACATCAAAAAACCCAAGAACCCAATATATTGCTTTGCTGATGACAGCACACTTCTCGCGTCATTTCTACTGGATTACAGGACATCGGCTGCGGATGCACATTTTCACCAGCAGCAGGAGGTTGCATATCTCAATAAGACTCTAGACGGCATTTCGAATTAGGGTGGAAGTAACCTGGTTTCTTTCAATTTTACGAAAACCCAGACATGAGTTTTTGTTCGAAAACAAAAATGTATCCGAACTTGATTTAATAATGTCAGGACAGACAATTCCGCTTACTGCTTCCATAAGTTTGTTGGGTGTTAAAATGAACAACAATGTCTTGGCACAATCATGTCACTAGAATTGCAAAGTCCGCTTCTCAAAAGCTTGGAACACTGCTTCGAACCAGAAAACTGTACAATCCCTAGCAATTTTGATGCTTTATCAAGCTCAGATCAGACTTTCTCTGGAATATTGTTCACATGTAGAAGCTTCGCCCCTAAGCATACCCTCAAGATGTTGGATTCCATCCAGAAAAAAGTAATTCGTCTGATTGGAGACAAGAACATCACTTGTAACCTTAATAGTTTGAAACATTGAAGAAAGGATTTAGATTTGTCTCTATTTTTCAGATACTTTCACGGGAGGTGTTCAAATGGAATAGTGTCAGAAGTTTCNTCCTTCCTTTCTTTGGAAGATTCTATCATACCTTTTTTTATGTATCAGATGGAGTAGTAGAAAGCCAAAAACTTTCTTTCCCAAAAATTTATCACTCCTAAAAATATAACCCCTTCAATTCAGAATTACTTGTGTATTGAAGTTTTATATTTGTTGCTTGATGACATGTATCCTACATATCAAGGGTGAAAGCAATATATTTTTGAACTTCTTCAATATCAAAATGAAAATGACAGTTACAGAAAAAGAAATTATACTTCAAAATTTTTCGTTACTGTCAATGAACCAAAAAAATCAAGTGTTCTATTTTGGAATTATTGGGATTACTTTACTTCCGTCCATCATAAAATTGAATATATGTAATGGGTCAAGAATGTCTAATGTTTTAGTTTGATGCATTAGCAATACTGAACTCATTGGAGAATGTCCTACTACAGTCAATTATCCAATACCTCGTATGTAATTGTACCATAAATTGCATGCGAAAATAATGATACGTTTGAGTCTGTTATTTTGTCATACACGTTGATTCATATTTTCCTTGAATCATATGATAACCATGAATTACTGAAATCATCGGTTTCAAATCACCCTCGAAATAAATGTGTACTTTCTGTTGATTAGGGATCTCATGCTCAACCCTTCATGGTTATCATCTCCATATGTACGACAACTGCAGATTTTTCACTCTTGAAGAACAAAACCGCGACGGAACGTCATAAAACTAGATGAAAATTGATGATTGTCAAAAACCCAGAAAAACAAATATACGTATGTATGTAGATATCGATGAAAAATTAACTTACTCATAACAATAAGGTCCAACTTCTTTCAAAATCGGTATGGCTCCTTTTTGAACCTCCATGGGGTTGGAAACGTTGAAAAAGTATACTCGAAAATCCAAAGGGAATGGCAGTTTTAGATATATATCTCTAATTTCGTTTCGTTTTTTCAGAGCGACTTGCTGAAATGAATGTTATTGTGAACATTCATTCACACATACTTCCAATGTTTGAAACCAAAAATGCTGCACTAGACTTTGAAACAATTTTGGCATGTTTTTCAATTACCTAATTTTTTGAGCTCCAGAATCATTAAATCTACTTCATTATTGATACTTCAAAAATTAAACATCCACAGTAAATTTTCATCGTTTTGAAAGTACTTTTTGTTTCCTGTACCTAATTCATTGTTCATATGAAAGTATAATTGTTATATTGAGAGGGGTTGAGAGAGTTTTGAGAGGTCGGCTTGTGTCTGAAAGTAACTTCAATGCATGATGTGTAGTAGTTCATGCACAGTAGTCTTTGTGAAGAGTTCAATATGAAATTAATTTCTTTCTTCCTTTCAGAGTTCCCAACATCATTTCTATGAAGATGGAGAAGTAGAAATTAGTTTTCACATAAAAACTAATATCTTCTGTAAATATACCCCCTTCCGAAGTGAATGTGATATGAATTCCAACTTGGACCCCCCCTTGGGAGTAAAAGGGGCGCCTTTACATATGAAAATTACCTGTTCATCACTATTTCTCCGTACCTTTATATTTTCGAAGGCTGAGCAATTTGAAAAATTGTTTTCCCCGATAGCAATGACCCGAGGGATTATTGGTGACTCACCCTGTAGATGTACAATAAGAAAGGATTTTTGAATATTCCAACTGGAGTGCCCCCCTGAGAATGAAAGGGGCGCGTTAACATTTGGAAATCAACTTTTCATCATTGTTTCTCTGTACCGCTATATTTTCGGAGGGTGAAATTGTGTATGTAGAAACATACAACAAACATAGGAAGTTTTATTTTTCATTTTTTATGATGATTTCCTACCACGTATTAACTAACGTTTACTTCCATCAATTTATTGGAATTGCAATAGATTATTCAAAACAACTAGCGGAATTATAATCCGGTATGAGTTAAAATTACTTTTTTCAGACGAATATTTTCAAAAACGCCTTGTTTTTCCATCAATCAGTTGAATGTGCACAGTGAAAAATTGTTAGATATACTAAAATTGGTCAAGAAATGTCCAGTTCAAGCATAAAATGGGTAACAAAATTTCTCAACTAGAAATATTCAACAAAAGTCCCAAACATTTGGAAAATGATTAGAACTTCAGAAAACGCAATAATTCATTTTCAAATATTATCTAAACTATACTCCTTGAAGTAATTATTGTTGAGAAAACAAAAACAACTCACATCTCTCACTCCAAATCGTAATATCGGATCAAATGCTAAAAATCCCATCAGTGCCGAAAACAGAGCCAAACTCAATCCACCTATTCCAAGCTTCAGAGGTAACTTCATTTCATCGAATTAGTCAAGACTTATTGAAATGTCATTTCAGTAACATGAAAATATCTCATAACATCTCGCAAATCTGTGGCAAACAGGCGACATTTGAATGCAGTGAAATGAATTATCTATCGAGTTGGTCAAACTTTGACTAACTTTATTGAATTCGTAATGTAGAGGGGATGACTAGCATGATCTGAAGTTGAAGGTTGTGTTGTCATCAATAATAAAAACTGTCATTAAGAATCGAGAGATGTTTATTTCAATTCATATATTATTCATTGAACGACTTCACTTGCTTGGTATTCAAGGATCCCTGAGTAAGCTTATCGACTAATTTATAAAGCTTGCTATATTTACCCCATTTTCCAGAATGGTAATGCCTTTTTCATAATCTATTATCGACCGGTTGCTATCCACGAAGCTATGCTGGCAAGCATGAAACTGATTATGTAGAAAATAGTCATAACTTTGAGAATAGTTTTCTGCTTGATAGCATTTCAACGAAATAATACACAACAGTTCGATGTTTAATATAATTAGAAGGTATTCTGACTTGCATTTCATTATCCTTGAAAGAATCTGTCGAAATTAAAAAGATTAGATGAAAAATAACAAGCTGAAATTACAATGGAATAAAATACAAGCAATAATAAAAAATTGAAATATTGACACGAGATGTAAATTATCACCCAGTTATCACCCGAAGACGATTGTGGATACTAACAATCGAAACGTCGTGAATTAACTTGGCTTGGAATCTTTAACAGATTGAGCATCATAACATGCAACCCTGTTGCAGTGTGATTGTTTTAATTAATTCAGAGAGAAAAAAAATTGTTGAAAGAGAGGAGAAAAAAGAGTTGGACTATGACTTATGGATCATGTTCCCAGTTTCTTCTTCAACTATATTGAACTGAGATCACAATCGTTTCGAAAAAGCTGATATTGTCATAAATATCATCTCTTTCCAAAATTCGGCTCGTTTTCAGATTTTTCAGCAGAAGTCAAAAAATATTTGACATATGATAGAGGTATCTCAAATTCGTCAAATTCGCTGATTCAGTTTTGAATTATTCGATGGGGGCCAAGGTGTTTTCTAATACTAGTTTTTTGTCATGTACCTATACGTCTTTCTTCAGGACGAGTAGCAAAGTACGACCCATTTCCAGAGAACTGTTTGATATACATTCATCTTACATTTAGACAAGTTTGATACTCATTGGTTTTTTTCGTATTTACACAATTGTCAGTTGGGATGTTTATTATTTATAAGATTTATTGCATTGTATTTTCTCGAAACAAGTGTGGAAAAAAACTAATCGAGTACTCATTTATTCACCTTCATCTTCTTACTATATTGTTCTGCATTTTCCTTCCCTACGTGAATATATACTATTAATATTATTACTATTATTATTATCTCCTAAGTGTATGGCCTATTAGCAATCATTCTTGACTCATTTCGTTACAAATTGTGTATTTATATGGTGAACTCCACGTTCAGTCTCACACATGTTCTATACTTTTCTCATTTTCTCCAAGAAAAACAAAATGCAGATAATTGAATTTTTGTTTTTTTTTCAGCCGAACGTGAGTATCGACCTCAGTATATTTTGTCAGTAGAATTTTTGATGACCGTAATGATTATGACCGTCTGATGATGATGATTATGACCGTCTGATTATGACAGTGTAATGATTATGACCATGTAAGGAATATGACCAATAAGTAGAATATTTCAGCCAGTTCTGGTTTCTACCCACCGCTATGATATTACAGAAGCTTCGATTTGATATCCAGGGGGCCGCTCTCGGGCAAAAATCTCTTTCAAGTTGAGTTAACTTCAAAGGATTTTTAGAAATGCAAGATTGTTGAAAAAATGTATGTCTTTCAGAAAATATTGCATACATGGAGCAGCTTATAATGAACATATCCTTAGTTGAAATGCGGAACTATTCATGTAGGTACTATTGACCTTTGTACGAGGTGTTGAAGAACCGCTATCATGAATGTGAAATGTCTCAATACTCAATTGAGTCCGCACTGCCTGCATATCAAACTCTACTTTTTGCAGTATTTCCTACGCTGGGAGTCTATGCGGACTGTATACTTCCATGCAGCCATCTATTCATTGAATGTTCCGGTTGTAAGATTCTCATTATTGAGGGTGGCCGATTGGTGAGATGTTGATGCAAATAGTGGAGTGCATCCCCAGTTTCGAACCAAGGAATGTGCGTAAACGATGCTCTAGCTTGATACAAGTATGGCATTGGTGGTGTACGTGTACACTCTGAACGTAGCAAATACATCCGAAGGGAAAACGGACTGTTTTTTCTTATAAAATATCAAATAACTTTCTACTGCGTACTGTTAACACTGTCAAGATGTATTTTTATGATTGTGGTGAATCTTTCACCCTTATTGACAGTTTACACCAATCTCAGGTTTGGTGGTCCATCAGCATAAAGAATTAACTGTTCCCCCAAGTTTTCAGTTGAGTCATGATGGAGAGGATAACGAAGGCATTCAAATGTCGAATCGTCAGTTAGAGAATGCAAAGTTCAGAAGTTCATACTGATTCTGGAATAGTTTTCCTTTAATTAAGCCAATGAAATTCATAACGTCATTAAAGTGATTGTGGAGGTGATTGATCGCTATCTCATTCAAAAACCAAAATGTGATGTGAAATCATTGAGTCGATTCAAAAGCCACACTTGATGGTTTTGGTGATGGTATCATAACACGAACTAAGGAATTTGAGGAACATGGATCAGTTCATTGATGAAATTGATATCCTGAAAAAACAACTAGAATTATTGAATGATAAATGGCAAACAAAAACCGAACAGCTGTACCCTGCGGATGAAAAATGGGTCGATAAGGCCGCAGCAGAATATTTCGAAAATAAACCAAACACTGTAAACTTTTTGAAAGCTGACAAATCCAGTGAAGAATTTGAAAACTCACACATAGGAGTAAAAAGTATTTCTGTGAATATTCAGAAAATTCAAACCCAGAAAAAGCACAAAGAGGTTATTTACTTGGTGCAATCCACAAGCAGTAAAACAACCAGTTCTCTTCCCATAGAAAATTCTATTGTGTCATAGTGAGAATGATGTATGCCAGGAGATCCAGCCGATTGTCTGGCTGCCAGTTTTGCTAGTTCAATTATCGTTACCTAGAGTGTACCTATAGTTTGACCAACGTCTTCAGTTCAATCCGGTTGGAGCCCAGATCCCATACCTTTTTAGCTGATTTTTGTCGAAGAAGGACAGATGGGTTCATGACTGAGAGGATTTTGGCGGTATGAAGTCCTCAGACATCAGTACCGCCCTTCACGGTGTACCCCTACCTGGCTGGGGTGGGATGGATGGAAAAACTATTCGTCCGTTAACGGGGGACACGAGGGCCTCATTCCACAGATTGTCGGGGCCTTAAATATCGGAAGGGGTCGTCTACAGCATAGTCTATAGCTTCCCTAACTAACGGATTTCCGTGAGTTTCTGCACCTTCAAAAACTCGTCGATTCCTCGACTGAATGGACTGTCGAATGGAAGGCAGCTGTAAATCTCTGCAGATGGCTTCATTCCATATGAATCAAGGAGCATTCACAATCATCCTAATTAACTTGTTTTGTAATCTCTCCAAGATGGAGGATGTTGGACGGAGCCGCTTGTCCCCAGACGCCTGAAGCATACACGATGACAGGCTTGAACATCGTATTGTAGATGGTGGTATGTAGATGGTGAACCTGTAGTATTCTAATACGGAGGCGAACTAGCTTCCTGACTTTTAATGCTTTTATACAATTATTTTAGTTTTGTGATATGAATAAGCCATACGCTAAATGAATAAATCTATACAAAAACCGAAAGAGTGAAAGTAAATGGAGGGAAAATTGCAATAGAAAACCCAGCGAATTCAGAAAACTGTCAGAGTGTTTCCCATAAACGTCCACGAATGAAGTGTCTAATTGGCAAAAGTACTTGAATTTGTGAGTCTGCACGTGTCCCTTATTGATAAAACAATGAGTGCCACAGACATATATGAAATGTTGATATCCTCATTTCCTGAGGTGAAAGTTAAAAAAATCACTACCAAATATCTTGACTCATACGCTTTCTTAGAAGTAAATATTCACGACAGGAACTTTTGAGTAGCAATATCGCCTAATCTCTGGCCTGCTGGCTCATGTAACACTGAGTTATTTCGAAAACAAAACTAAATGAACTCTCCACCAAAATGCCAGATCTTTCCATAATGATACCATAAATGTATTGAAACCTGACATTCTCATCAGTAAAAAATCTCAAATTCTTAAGATTCAGTGAAACTGCCGAGTCGATTTTATCAAAATATATAGGGAGATTCACCTCGGGTGGTTTCTTTCGCTTACTACTAGCGTACCACAACATGCCTTGCATATCCAGCAAACCACATGAATTCGACCTACCTCGCAAAACATGGTCAACCCTAAATAGAATTAGAAGCTAATGAAGTATCCAAGGGTGGAGAGTAGCGATATATTTCGAAAATGATTTGAATTATAATAGAGTCAATCTATATGAGTTTTGCATGCAGGAATCTTCAGAAATATGCCCGTGTCGAAACCCTTTTCATGATAGGTTGTCACTGACAACTTCTTGTTGAAGATCACCCAATGAAGATACGTCTTTTATTATGGAAGAATCATACAAGCCTAACGTTGACGTGATATTTGTCGGTGATGTAAAAATCTAGAATCATTTCCAACGCCCGTAATTCAGATCAATTTCAAAGTACGAAGAAAATATTTTCAACTTTTGGACTGGGTTTGAAGGTGAGCTGGCCTACCATATGTGATATTGACAATATAGTCGTGGATCATAAAATCGTCAGGCGAAACATATTATACTTCAACAACCTGTCACATCATATGAATCTATTTTTGAAATGTTCTGTCATCAACAAAATTAAATAAAAGTTTTCTCAGCTCTCCAGGAAGGAATTTGGCTACATATTTTTGAAAAGCATACAAAGAATGAAATACTCGACATTTGTTATCACTCATACCTTCATCACTTCGATTCTTTTTTGCCCTATAAACAAGCTGTATACTTGATACTAATAGAAAGTGTACATCTTGTGAAG